TTTTTTTTAGTGGGCATAAATATGGACCTCTTCCATTCCGCTGGCCAGGTGGTTGTCCTCCAGATTTCTTGGCACAACCTCATGAGCATGTCCAGGGCAGCATCTGATTGTTGAAATAAGTCAATTGGTATTCCATCAATTCCTGGGGCTTTATTTTTGCCAAGCCCTTCAGAGCAGCCTGCACTTCATCCTTCATCACCATTGCCTCTTGATCATATGTTGTTTCTTTAAATTCTTCTGTGTGAGCCAATTCTTTTTTGGTACAGTGTCTCTGTATACTTCTTCCACCTTTTTCCTAGATCATTCAATATTCTGCCCCATAACATCCTTAAATGTTACAACTTGTGTCTTGAATTTGTTCCTTAGTCCTTTCAGCTTAAAAAACGCCGAGAGTTTGACCTTTCTGTTTTTCTGACTCCAGCTCTTTGCACTTTTCATGATAATACTTTGCTTTGTCTTCTCGAGCTGCCCTTTGAAACCTTCTATTCAGCTCTTTAATTTCTTGATTTTTCCCCCCTTTGCTTTGTCTTTTCAGAACTCTAGAGCAATATTCAGAGTCTCTTCTCACATCCAATTTAGTCTTTTCTTCTTCCTTGTCTTCTTAATGACCTTTTGTATTCTTCATGGATGATATTGTTGATATCTTCCCATAACTCATCTCGTCTTCATTCATGAATGTTTAAAGCCTCAAACTTGTTCCTGAGTTGGTTTTTAAATACAGGGAGGATATACTCCAGATGAAATTTTTATTCCTGTGGATATGATTTGGCCCTCTTTAGCTTTAATTTTAACTTGCATATGAGTAGTTGATGGTGTGTTATGTAGTCAGCACCTGGCCTAGTTTTTACTGCTGATACTGAACTTCTCCAATGATTCCTTCCACAGATGTAATCAGTCTGATTGCTGTGCATACCATCAGGTGAAATCCATCTATATAGCCTGTGTTTGTTTCTTATAAAAGGTATTTGCAATGAATATATCAATGATTGTGCAGAATTCTATCATTCTATCCCCAGCCTCATTTCTGTCAAGTCCATGTTTTCCAACTACTGATCCTTCTTCCTGGTTCTCGACTTTTGCATTCTAGTCACCCATTATTTTTAATGCATCTTGGTTGCGAATTTGATCGATTTCTGACTGCAAAAGTTGGTAGATATCATCCATTTCCTCCTCACTGGTTGTTGGTGCACAAATTTGAATGATAGTGGTATTAACAGGTATTCTTTGTACGTGTATGGATATTATGCTATTGCTCACAATGTTGTATTTCAAGACGTATCTAGAAATTACTTTTTTTGGGACTGTGGCATCGTTTCTTACCACTAGGCCACCAGAGCTCCCTTAGAAAAAGCCTTTTTAACTATAAAAGTGGCCCCGTTTTTTCTCACCTTTTCATCTCTGGGATAGTAGATCATATGATCATCTGATTCAAAAAGTCCCATGCCAATCAATCTCATTTCGCCAATACCTAATATGTCAATATTTATGCCATTTCTTTCCTAATAATGTCCAGTTTTCCTACATTCATGCTTCTCACATTCCATTTTCCAATCATTAGTTTCTGCTTACAACTGTTCCTCCTCTTTTGAATTTCCAAATTTGAGGGCTCAGCCTCAGTTGCCATATATGTTAGTCTACTCTAAGTGTGTGTTATTGTACATAGGGATTTCGAAGGCCTGTTATTTTGGAAGTGGATGGCCAATTCTTCTTCCTAGTCTGTCTTTATTTGGATGCTTAGTTTTAGAATAACATCCATTAGACAAGTATTTTACTGAAAGGAGCAGATCAAAGACACTTCCTCTAACAGAAATAACCAATACATCCAGTGACCCCCAACCCCACCCCAGCCCGTGTCTTGTTCCTTCCCTTTCCCTGCTACATTAGTGTACATATGTTGTTGTTGTTATGTGCTGTTGATCGCCTATGACTCATAGCGATCCTATGTACAACAGCTCTGAAGCCTGCTGTGTCCTGAGCCAGTCTCACTGATTCCAACATGCCTACCCCATTTACCCTGGTTACTGTATCAATCATATGTATATGTATGTATGTATGCATGTATATATGACCAAAGAGAACCATGCCATTCCAAGCAATGCAGAGCTGGTGACTGATGATCCCAGTGTTCCATACAATGAGCATGGATTGGTACTGCCAAATGGAGACATTAACTGGAACTGCCCATGCCTCAGAGGAATGGCCAGTGGCCTCTGTGGGGAGCAGTTCAAATCAGCCTTCTGCTTCCACTACAGCACAGAGGATGTCAAGAGGTCAGACTGTGTAGACCAGTTTGGGGCCATGCACGCATGCATGCAGAAATACCCAGACCTCTAACCCGAGGAGGAGAATGATGACGACGATGATGAGAAGAAGCCAAAAGGTTTAGAGGAAACAACTCCAGCTGAGAATACTGCAGCCAAAACAGAGAACTCAAGCTAGTGAACACCCTGAGCCTGTGCTCCAGTCCTTCCATTTCAGGTTGTCAAGGGCCTATTTCAAATGCCTTTCAGTCACTTTCAGACAAAGTGTCTTTTCTTCTTTTGTTCTCTACACTGTAATATACAAAATAACTTATTTTCAGGATCAATGGTCTTGGCCTTTTTACAGATACACTGAAGGAAAAAAATAACAAAATAAAATGGGTGGTTGTGTATGTGTCTCCCATGTAAACTCATCTGTGAACATAGCTGCCATATTTGAATTCTCCTTTCTCAGATTGCCCTGGATTTTACCAGTTTGAACTAATGTTCTGAATATTCTCAACAACCAAAACATCATTACCCGGATGGGGGTGGATGGGGATTGATGCCTTTGAACTGTGGTGTTGGAAAAGAATGCTGAATATCCCATGAACTGCTGAGAACAAACAAGTCTGTCTTGGAGGAAATGCAACTAGAGTGCTCCTTAGAGGCAAGGATGGTGAAAGTTGATCTCACATACTTTGGGGCATGTTGTAAGGAGAGGCCAGGCCTTAAAAAAGGCATCATTCTTGGAAAGGTGCAGGGTCAAGAAAAGAGAAGACCCTCAACTAGATGGATTGACATAGTGATCAAACAATGGGCTCAAGCAGAGATGGTGGGGAGAGGGCATGATGGAGGGAAGCTCAGATCTGCTGTTCACAGAGTGGAAATGGCACCTTGATGCCATCAGCTTGATGGCACCTTACAACAACATGTATCACTTTGTATAAGTGATGGTGTCATAGGTGTATATATCTCAAAATTTATCACCTAATAAACTTTAAATATATACAGCTTGGGTTCCCCTCCTCCCCCCCGTCCATTGGATGATATCTGCCACTGGCACACACAGTCCAAGGGCAATGATGCAACCAAGGGCTTCCTCTCAGCACCAGCTACCAACTCCTGGCTCCAAAACCTGCAGGAGGATCTGTGAAAGTACTAATATACAGTTTATGTAAATTATACCTCAGTAAAGCTATTCAATTGCAAAAAAAGAAAAAAGAAATCCCAGCACAATATCTAATATTTGTCATCCATCCCAGCGTAAAGTGCTTCTGACAGTTTCTCAGCCTAAACATGAAGTCTAGTTTGTTGATCTCCAATAATGCTATCAAGTACTATCTTAGATGGTTCATTAATTGATTCATAAACAGTAACTGTGTTTTCTATTAATGTACAAAATCTTCAAATTCAGTACTCATACCTTTTACTTGTATCTTCCTGTGGTATGTAGGGCTATGACAGACATGCAAAATTTTGACAAGTATCTTGTGAATAGTCAAGTGATAGTCATCATCTTTGAAAGACCAGGGGTTGTAGGGAGGCAAAGTCTCAAGACAAAACTTAAAGAATTCTTTTTACCCCTATTGTGATTGCAGAGTTCAAGGAGAGGGACATGTAGCTGAGTAGACCAACCTCAGCCCAAGGCAGGAATAGTATCATTTGTCCTACAAAGATCTATCTAACTCAGGGTTAAATTAGAGAGCGACAGGTTGAATGGAGAAATATCAAGTTATTATTCATGTACTGGCTCCCTCATTGCTGTCAAGTCCAAAGTTAACATAGCTGACATTCCAGCAGGTTTCTGAGGCTACAAACCAGCGTAGACGCAAACTGCCTATCTTTCTCCCTTGAAGCTGCTGGCAAAACCCAACAGTGAGAGAGGTGTGACCTGTGAATTAGCAGCACACCTCACTGCAGACTAAGCCACCAGCTCCCTGACTGAGACAAAGGGGCTGCCATATTGCAGTTTGACTTCATTTTCATTCTTTGCCTTCTTAATTCTAACCAAAAGCGTGATGCAGAAAAGAAACAAGAAACTTAAGTGGGATTTTATGAATAGCAATGTCTTTAAACTGAAAGCCACCATAAGCCTGAGCTTTCCAGTTATATAATCACATTTTCTCTCTACATACCCCTCAAGGAGAAGCAGTAGGACCTTAACTTGTTAGAATGCTCAGGAAATGCAAAAGAAAGAGACAGAAAGCTAGTTAGCATGAGAAACCGGGAGAGCCCCCTCTCAGGGGAAGAAAAGGGCTTTATTTTCTCAATCTAAAAGATTATTGCCGAGTGGCAGGAAAAGTTGTCTCCGACTTCCGCCTCAGGAAGCTTCTGGGTTCCGGGGAAACGCGGCTGTCATAGGTAAGGATGTGGCCCTGAGTCTTACTTTTGTGGAGCGTGTAAGCATGGGTGAGGACAAAGAACATCCAGAAACACTGCATAAATATGCGGGACATCAAGCCGAACCAGCGCATCACCCTCACAGCCCTTATTTTGGGGTTAGTGTTGGTGAGGAATTGGATGATGATGTTCATAACTTCGTAGAGAATGATCCAGATGATGTAGACCAGCAGGCCCCTGAAAACCTCGGCGTACACGGAGTACAGGAGGAACACGCTGACGCCACAGGTGACCAAGGAGACTAAGAGCACGATTTCAAAACCCCAGCACATCAAGAACAGGCTTATCATTTTTGTTTCACTCTGGGCCCACTCGAGATCACTGCAGTTTTCGCCCCGTATGTACTTTTCTTCAAAGATGAGATACATTTCGGTGGCCACTATGGTGAAGACGCCGGCCAGCACGGTGCCCAGTTTGGCGGACATCCCATACCAGTACTGCTGCCGCATGCCGAGCCCTCCTGCAAAGACAGACAACAGGACGGGGGATTCTGTTTAGAGTCCATCTGGGAAGAGAGGAGAAGGGAGGGAAGAGGCTGGGGCCGGCTCGGCCAGTAAATAAATCACAGAGGAGCGGTTGGCAATTCTATCTTCATTTTAGGCCTCTGAATGTACCTACATTCTACATAGTTGGCCTAGGCCAACTAGAATATTCTCTGGAGTAGCCCAAGCATCAGTATTTCCCAAAACTTTCTCGTGATCTTAATATGTTGTTGTTGTCGTTGTTGTTGAAATGTGCTGTTGAGTTGGAATTGACTCATAGCTGACCCTCCAGCAGGTTTTCAGAGACAGTGAATTACACAGGAGGAGATTGCCCATCCTTCTCCCAGGGAGCAGAAGATGGATTCGAACCGTTGCCTTTGAGAGCGCAGCTCCTTACCACTAGGCTACTAGAACTCCCCCTTAACATGTTGAAGTTGAAAAGCCACTGAGTTTTGTTAAAGGTTTGTGAATTCTGTGCTTGCTTTCCTGTTGCTACCTTGAGCAAACATGTCTGCCCCCTGGTGGCAGAAACGGGCCGCATTTGCCAGACTTGAATGCATCAGATCAGGGCCGCATAATCTTTACTGAAGCAAAGAGCTGATAAACAACTTAGAAAGTTATTTAAGTATAAACAAAAAAGCCTGAGCAAGTTAAAGGAGAAAAACCTATCTACATCCTAATTCATTGGGTAGTGTGAGGGGTTCATTGGGTAGTGTCAGGGGTCTTAAAAGCTGGCAAGCAGTCATCCCGGGTGCCCTAACTGGGCTCTATCAGACTGGAGCAACAGGGGAAGATAGGAGTAGGAAGAGAATATGGAATGTGAGACTAGAACTAGATGGCATCCAGCTATTACCAGTCAATTTTTTGATAAAAAAAATTCTGTAGAAGAATATTGATCAAAAGGTCAAAGTACACAGAACACAATTTTAGAGTTTCACAGAATCTACACTTTCTGAAGCCATTGAGAGTGGATGAATCCCTGAAATTTTCTTTAAATCAAACAATAGTTTTGCTTAGCAAGAAAAGAATGTCAGTTTTGAGCATTGTGCTCTTTTAAGATCTACCTATATGGGATCAAATTGACAGCAGCCACTTGAAAGATTAGATAGGAAACACAGGGAGCAATGTGTTTATGTTAATGGGAGAATTTGGGAAGGAAAGTGAGAATGGTAACACAATGTGAAGCAAGTCTCCAGGGATGGATCCTTCCTTGCTTCCTCTAGCTTCTGGTGATTGCCAGCAATCTTTAGTATTCCCTGGCTTCTGGAAGCACAATGCCAGCGTCATCATTTTCACAGAGTGTTTCCCCTTGAGTCTCTTTTGCCTCTCTCTTGGCTTCTAAACCTTCCTCTTTTTTAAAAGGAGATTTGATTTAGGATCCACCCTAATCCAATATGATCTCACCTTAATCTGAATACATCAGAAAGATCCTATTTCCAAGTAAAGTAATCTTCACAGATTCCAGGTAGACATGGCTCTCTGAGAGATACTATTCAACCCAGGACAACATATAATAATCATCTTTGCGATCACTTGTTATGCATCAGAGAGTTGGACAATGACTAAGGGGGATAGAAGAAGAATTGATGCCTTTGAGCTTTGGTGCTGGAGAAGAGTATTGAGGGTACCACGGACTGCTAGGAAAACAAACAGATTCATCCTGGAAAGGGTTAAACCGGGAGGCTCCTTGGAGGCAAGGATTCTGAGGCTCCATCTAACATACTTTGGACATGTTGTGAGGAGGGTCAGGTCCTTGGAGAGGGACATCATGCTTGGTAGGGTGGAGGGACAGCGCAGGAGGGGAAGGCCCTCTATGAGGTGGATTGATTCAGTGACTGGGGTAATCGGGATGGGTGTATCAGAGATGGTGTGATTGGCACAGGATAGAGCAGAGTTTAGGGCTGTTGTCCATAAGGTCGCTATGAGTCACAAGCAACTCGAAGGCACATAACAACAACATGTATTCAGTTAGTGGCAAAATTAAGATTTGAATGTTTTTCCCTGGGTCCATAATCTTTCTTAATATTTGTTATAGATTAAATAGTTCTGCCAAAATAAACATGTATTGTAAATCCTAATCCCTCTATTTGTGGTTATAGCCTCATTTAGGAATGGATTTTGTTGACAGTGGCTTTTAATGAGTCATTATTAATTAGTATAGGGTGTATCTTCAGGTATTATCTTCTGAGATATAAAGGGAGCTGATTAAGCAAACAGAGATTGAGAAAAATAAATGCCATGCCACATCTTCTTTAGAGTAAAAAAGGAAAAATTTCCCGTAGAGATTGTGCCCAGAATTCAAGCTTCTAACCTATTAAACTGTGAGAAAAGAAATCTGTTGGTTAAGGCCATTCACTTGCAGTATTTCTGTTAAAGTAGTACTGAATAACTATGATAATATTCAACCCATTTGTACTTTATCTGCCCCAGAGATCTCACCCATCCCACAGCTCACAGAAAAGGCCTGGAGGAGGACTGGAGGAGGCTCTTGGTCAACATTGGTTGTTTCATCACTACCTTTTCCTTAATCATCGCAGGCCATTACACTCCTCTCTGCTTCTCTTTCTCCTTCCCAGCCATACATAATAAAACTTGTAAGTGTATGTTCTTTTACTTTCTTTTTTATACTTCTCTTTCCTCTTTACCATACCCACCAGACTACAGTTAAGCTCAATAGGGCTGGCTTTCCCTGCTGACTCCACCAAGTCCATGCTGTTGGCTGTGATCTTACTGGGTAATATCAGGGACAGTGGAAATCTTGGTTATCCATTTATGTGTATCAATAATTCATTAACTGTGTGTTGAAGCATTGGCTACCTTAGAGTTCCCTAAGAGAGGGAGCTCTGGTGGCCTAGAGGATAAAAGATTGTGCTGCCAACTCAAAGGCAGGCAGTTTGAACCTACCAGCTGCTCTGAGGAAGAGAGATAGGCAATCTCCTCCAGTGTGTTTACAGTCTCTGAAAACACACTAGAGAGTGAGCTGTGAGTCTGTTCTAACTTGAAAGCAATGTGAGAGGGAACAGAGTCATTGCTACTTCTTTGCTTCTTCATCAGAGTTACTCCTATACACTTCACCAAATTTCTTCACTCAGACATTCAGGCACTAGGTAGAAATACCATCACATTGTAAGTATGTTTTAAGAGAAAGCAATAAAAAAAAACAAACAAAAACCAAGCTCAGAAACCCGAGGGAGGGTCACTGTGAGTCGAAATACACTCAACGGCAGTGAATTTGAGTGGTTGTGTTTTTAATTTTTATTAAATGTAGCCTCTTAAAAAAAAAGAGAGAGAAAGCAATGATCTCTAAGCTGGGAAAGTATTACAGACCAGAAAATACAGGGAGCCTGAACCATAATATGTCTTAAACATTTTTAAAAAGATTGTACTATTCAAACAATTGTTGTTATGTGCTATCAAGTAGCTTACGACTCATAGCGACCCTATGTACAAGAGCTCTAAATGCTGCTCTATCCTGTGCTAACCTCGCCATTTCCTACACACTCACTCCCACCACCCCAGTCACATAATAAGTTCTCAGTCTCAATTGCCATGTCTGCTAGTCTAAGTGCTAGTCTAAGTGTGCTCTATTGTATGTAAGGTTTTCGAAGGCCTGTCATTTTGGAAGTGGGTGCCCAATCCTCTTTCCTAGTCTGTCTCAATTTGTGAGTTTGTTTGGTCTGTGTGTGTGTGTGTGTGTGTGTGTGTGTGTGTGTGTGTGTGTGTGTTTTATATATATAATAGTATCTGACAAATATTGTATAGTATATGCCTCAAATATATTTTGTTTTGAACAGTGTAATTTTTAGGAAATATTTTTTATTCAAATTCTTTCAGATAGAGTGCATACTATGCTGGCTCCCTCATTCTGTTATCATCATACTCTTTAACTTCACCCACTTATTTTACTCACCAAACCAATGGAAGCCATGAACTTTGAGACTCTTGTTTTTATACTCCCTTAATTTCATTTTGATGGAACAGGGTGAAATTTCTGTAACATGAACATATTACTAATATTTTTCTATATTCTTATTTGTAACTTTTATATCTTATTGTTTTTGTATATTTTTCTTTTTTGTTATTATTTTTATTGATATTTTAACAAAAGTTCACAGAAAACTTGGATGTCCATTCATTCATTTTTGCACATTTTCCTCCCTAACCTCCCTCCTCAGTTTGCTTTACTCTTTAAAAAAGTTATTTCATACCATTAAGTTACTTGTGACTCATAGCAACCCTCTGTATAATACCTCTGAACTTTGCGTTATCCTGTGCCAACCTTATAGTCTCTGACACACCTACTTCCATTACCCTAGGCATTGAATCAATTCATCTCATCAAGGGTCTTCCTCTTTTACACTGTCCCTCCACCCTCCCAGCATGATGTCCCTCTCCAAGGACTAGTCCCTCCTTGCAATGTACCCAAATTATGTCACACAAAGCTTCAGAATCCTTGCCTCCAAGGAGCAGCTTGGTCTCACCCTCTCTAGGATGAACCTCTTTGTTCTCCTAGCAGTCCATGGTATATTCAATACTCTTTTCCAGCACCACAGCTCAAAGGCATCAATTATCCTTCTATTATGCCTAGTCATTATCCAGCTTTCTGAGGCATAGCAAGTAATTGTGAAGACCATGGGCTGGATCAGGCACACCTTAGTCTCCACACTGACATCGTTGCTCTTCAGTGCTCTGGATTTTCTCTGTACTCTAACAGCAGGTTTTCCCAGTGCAATTCATCTTTTGATTAGCAGGCTGCTTGTACCAAGAGTGCTGATGGTGGAGCTAAGCAAATTGAAGCTGTTAACAATCTCAATCTCTTAACTGTCTATTATTATGATGCTGCCAATTGGCCTAGTGGTGACAATCTTTGTTTTCTTGATATTGAGCTTCAATCCACATTTAAGGCTGCAGTTCTTGACCTTCTGCAGCAAATGCCTCAGGTCCTCGTCAGTTTCAGTTAGCAAGGT